TTTTTTTTTCTTCTGCTGAGTTTTGTTTCCTCTTTCTGGTGGTTCCTCCTATTGGTTCTAATTCTTCCTTACAACATCACTAATGTGAAAATATGTTTAATAGGAATGTATATGTATAGCCTATATCAGATTGTGCGCTGTCTTGGGGAGGGTGGTGGGGAGGAAGGGGGAGAAAAATTTTAAACTCAAAAGCATATCTAAGTGATTGTTGATAAATCAAAATAAATTAATTTTTTAAAAAAAGAGTATTTGGCAAGGAGTAAGGTGTAAAAAAGACAAAAAAGTCTGAGAGTGAGGGCATCCACATTTATTAGGGAAATGGTTTAGGCTGAAACATGGTGCTCCTCTGGTAATATGGGAGCTACCCATTCTACCCTGAGTTCCATCTCCATAGCCTCACACCGTGTTAGTTAGGAGGCTTGGTTCCCAGTACTAGATCTGCTGTTGATTTATTCTGCAATCCTGAGTCAATCCATCATTTATCCTTCCTAGGCCTCAATTTCCCTATTTCAGAAATGGTTTACCAGCATAAGCTATAATACAGTGAAAAGAAGACTCACACAGGGTGTTGTCAGATGGGAAAAATGGGCCCTTCAGAAAGTGAGACCAAGGGACAGCCAGTGGACAGTGTGCCTGCTCCACGCAGGTGAGGAAGGCCCCATTATGTTGGGTATACCCGTTTGTGGTGATTTTATGGAAGGACATGGGCCAGAGCTGCATAAAGTTAAGCAGAAATGGATCTGTTAAGACCTTAACCACTGGAAGAAATATCTATATTCATGAGACTACAGAGCCACTGGAGGATTGGAGGCAATTCCAGTCTGTCTCCAAACAGCTGGTCTGTTTCCTGTCTATAAAAGGTTGGGGCAGCTAGGTGTGCAGTGGATAGAGCACCAGTCCTGGAGTCAGGAGGACCTGAGTTCAAATCCAGCCTCAGAGACATTATACTCATTAGCTGTGTGGCCCTGGGCAAGTCACTTAACCCCAATTGCCTTGCAAAAAAAAAAGATAAGGGGTCACCTCTATTTCAAAGATCCAGTTCTATAACCTTGAGGGCAGTCACCATGTTTTCTATATCTTTGCATACTCCAGGGTTTCTAGGGTGGAAAGGATTGTGAAGTTGTAGAGAGAATAATGCCCTAAGAATCAGAAGAGCCTACATTCTATCAATGGAGGGAAGAGGAAAACCCAATCAAGGAGGGGTAGGAGAGATGGGCTAAGGAAGGCCTCAAGGAGAGCATGGCCAGTAAGCAGCACCTCAAAGAGGGATAAAGATTGAAGTAGAAATGGGGAGGCTAGGGACAGTTAGGTGGTACAGTGGGTAGAGCACCGGCCCTGGAGTCAGGAGGACCTGAGTTCAAATCTGGCCTCAGACACATCATACTCACTAGCTGTGTGACTCTGGGTAAGTCACTTAACCCCAATTGCCTCACCAAAAAAAAAAAAAAAAAAATGGGGAGGCTCATTTCCAGACATAGAATTGGGCATGGGTCAGAGATGAAATAGGACAACTAGGTGGCACCATAGTGCACAGAGAACTGGCCCTGGAGTCAGGACTTGAATTCAAATTTGCCCTCAGACACTCGCTAGCTGTGTGACCCTGGGCAAGTCACTTAACCCTGCTTGCTTCAGTTTTCTTATCTGTAAAATGAACTGGAGAAGGAAATGGCAAACTACTCCAGTTTCTTTACCAAGAAAATCCCAAAATGGGGTCATAAAGAATCAAACAAGTGAATAAAGGAAATGGAATGTCAAGTCTGAGTGATGGTGAAAAGTCCAGTTTGATTAGAAGTAGAGAACATGGACAGTAATGTGACATACAACTCAAGTAGGTTGGAGCAAACAACTGTGGAGGGCTGAGCTAACAGAGGCACTAGGGAGCTATTGAAGGATATTGATCAGGGGAGCACCACAACCAAACTTGTGCATTGGAAAAAAATTAATTTGTCAGCTATGTGAAGGATGGGAAAAGGGAGGGACTTGAGGCAACTCTCTGGGCCTCTTTTCTGGTCTATTGAGAGGATCAGATTAGATAACTGCCACTCTTATACATTGTGTAGCCTACTTTAAAAATTGCACATAAACCAATGGTTTACATTCTAATTATCGTCTTTCCCAACACCTTCATCTAATAATGGTTCCCAGCACTTAGGTTGCTAAGTTTCTCAGGTCCTCCCTTTTGTATCCAGGTTAAGTAATTAAGGGCCTGACCCTAAGACAAATACTTTTAACATATTAGAGTAACAGGTAAGTGGGATTAGTGTAGTCCCTTATTACCTCATACCCGGACTATTACAACAGCCTTCTGGGATGGGGTCTGCCTACTTTAAGTCTCTCCCCACAGCAACCCATCCTTCACGCAGCCACCAAAGTGATTTTCCTAAAACACAGCATACCCCACTTCCACTTAAAAAACTCCAATGGCTCCCTCTTGTCTCCAGGATCAAAATACAATATCCTGTTTGCTGTTGCAAGGCCCTTCATAATCTAGCCCCCTCCTACACTTCCAGGTTCCCTACATCTTAATCTTCATCATGTACTCTTCGATCCAGTGATAGTGGCCTCCCAGACACTCCATCTCCGACTCCTGGGCATTTTCTTTGGCTGTCCCCCATGGCTGGAATGTTCTTTTCTTCTCAACTCTGAAGCCAGACTACTGGCTTCCCTTAAATCCCATCTTTTGTTTGTTTGTTTTTAGGCAATTGGGGTTAAGTGACTTGCCCAGGATCATACAGCTAGTAACTGTCAAGTGTTTGGTCTGAGGCCGGATTTGAACTCAGGTCCTCCTGACTCCAGGGCTGGAGCTCTATCCACTGCGCCACCTAGCTGCCCCTAAATCCCATCTTTTACAGGAAGCCTTCTCTAACCCCTGTGAATTCCAGTGACGCCCCTCAGTTAATTATTTTCTATTTATCCTGTACAGAGCTTGCCTCCCATGTGTTTGTTTGCATGTTGTTTCCCCTGTGAGACTGTAAGCTCCCTGAGGGCAGACTCTGCTTCTTTTTGCATTGCCAGCACAGCAGTGTCTGGCACATAGTACACACTTAATAAATGTTTATTGACTGACTTTGGAGTCAAGTGACATGGTTTCTAGTTCTGCCATTGATGTGACCTTGGACAAGTCACTTCTCACAGATCTCACCAGTAAAATGAGGGCCTTGGAACAGATAATTACTAAGATCCATTCTCACTCTGAAATTCTCTGGTTCTGCTTTAAAAGAAATGTTTGGTAAAAAACAGATTATTCTCTTGTAAGATCTGAGAGGAACAGTTCAAGTACCAGATTCATGACTCAAATCTATACTTTTTACTCCAAATCTTGGGTTCAAGCAGCTATACCTTACCCTAAGACCAGAATGTGCTAACCAAGTTCTCATAATAGGATACACTTTGTCAATCCATCCTCTGAAGTAGACCCTTACACTTCATATACCAACTCCCTCCCCCTGCCTCCTTATGTCTTTTCCAGTTTCTCCATTGATTATGATTTTTCTCCACCCCACCATTACTTATTAAGTCTTAGAGACCAACAGCTGCTAAGAGGATCAAATTAAGTTGCGAATTCCACCCCACCATGACATCACTCTCCCAATTTAGCTAAGGGGGAGAAGGGGCAAAGTGAAGTTTTTAGACCTGACGAAAAATCTTAAGATCTTGAGAAGCAAATAGACCCAGAGAGGGGAGGTGACTTGTCCAAAATCACACAGTGGCAGGCCCTAAATCTGAAGTGGCATCTTGTGATGACAAATCCAATGCTCTTTCTGAGGCACCGTACCACACACCACAACCGCCTCAAGAAAATGTGTAGTCATCTTCAGCCTACTCTGAAAACCACTTGACTCTGCCGTAAGACAGTGCAGGACAGGGCCTGTCTCTTCATTATATACTCCCACAGAACAGGCAGCATGGTGCATTGAGCAGTGCCTTGGACTTGAGGGTTCAAATTCCACCCAACATCTCTTAGCTCTGAGACCACAGGTGAGTCATAACCTCTCTCGAGTCTTAGTTTCCTTATTTGTAAAAACCGGGAGGTTGGACATGAGGGCTCATTCCTGTAATTCCAGCTACAAGGGAGGCGGAAGCTGGGGATCTCCTGAGCTCAGGAGTTCTGGGCTGTAGTGGGCTATGCCCACCAGGTGTCTGCACTAAGTTCAGCATTCACATGGAGTCCCCAAGAGTAGGGGCCACCAGGTTGCCTAAGGAGGGGCAAACCTGCCCAGGTAAGAAACAAGCAGGTCAAAGGTTCTGAGCCCATGAATTTCCTGGACTGGGCAAGAGGAGGAGGCCCAGTCTTTAGGGCAAAAGAGATGGGCTTTTGCTCTAAGCAAAATCCAGGACCTGGTACTAGCTCTAACTACGAAAATCTCCTTGTAAAAACCTTCTGGACCATAGTTTCCCCATAGGTAAGGGGTTGTTATGAGGTTGAAATTAGTAAACAGATCAAACAGAAGGAACTTCAGGGACTATCACTCTCTCATTTTTACAGATGAGGAAACTGAGGCCCAGAGAGTTGAAGTTCTTACTCAGAGCTGAATTCAAGCCTACTCACAACGGAGCCTGTGCTCTTATCCACTATGCTCCTCCATTCTTTTTGCTATAAGAAGGCAGCAATATGGTGCCTTTAGCTAGAGGTACTTTGGTGCCAAGCACAATGTGCTGTTGTCTACCACTCCTGTTTGGGTAAGGCCATCTCCACTCAGGCGGCACAGAGCATAGCGTGCCCAGTCTGGTGTCAGAAAGACCTGAGTTCAAATCTGACTTCAGACACTTACTAGCTGTATGACCCTGAGTCAAGTCACTTAACTCTATTTGCCTTGGTTTCCACATTTGTAAAATGAGCCAGAGAAGGAAATGGCAAACCACTCCAGTATCTTTGCCAAGAAAACCCCAAAAAGGGATCACGAAGTCAGACACGACTGAAAACAACTGAATTACAAAATCTCCCCCCATCCTCCCTCTTTCTTCCACCAGAGCTCCCAAAGCACTGGGGCTTAGCCATGTGAGTTTAGAGAAACATGGTGTTTAATGTTAAAGCTCAGCACACTCCAGCAAGGGGCTTGGGGCTGGAGTCAAAGCAGCGGGATGGAGGCAGGAGACCCTCCAGAGGCCTCACATGGCGAAGAGGATGAGGAAGGCTACCATCAAACAGAAGAGCCCCATAGCTTCAGACAGGGCAAAGCCCAGGATGGCATAGGAGAAGAGCTGCTGCTTGAGAGATGGGTTCCTGCAAGGAACAGAGAAAGAGAGAACAGTTGCCACCAGGTATGAAGCCAGTCCTGTGGACTAGGGGAATGTGGATTCCTGTCAGGTGTGCAAGTGAGAGGGCTCTTCCCTGAAAAATCCTGATGGAAGGGCAAGCCATCAGAAGTCACTCCCCTTTCATCAGAGCAAACAAGGCTGAGCAATGCAGGATGCTGTGTGGCATGGGTGAGAAATTCTCCCACAAATTCTCAATCAAAAATAATTGGGAAAACTGAGAATTAAACAGGGAGGCTACTGGGGGCACCATCTTATCTGCCTCCCTTCTTTCAGAAAGGCTTAGCAGGATTATGGTGTAGACCTTAAAGACAAAGATTTTCAGTGCCACTCCTACTCTACCCACCTGGCATAGCCGATGATTAAACTGCCAAAGACTGTCCCGATACCTGCCCCCGAGCCAGCCACACCAACCGTGGCGGCCCCAGCCCCAATGAACTTGGCAGCTGTGTCGACGTCCCGGGAAATAGCACTGGTCTGGAACTCCCGACGGGCCAGCTGGAGTGGGGTACTGCTAGAAGTGGGCTGGAAAGAGAGAGGACCAATAAATTGGTGAGACACAGGGCTTGGCGCCAGATTCCCCCAACCTGAGTGTAGAGCTGGGCCCTGGTTGGCATTTTGTTTGGAGTACAGTGATAAAGGCCCACAGGAAAAGTATGTTCAAGTTTAAAAAGGATACTGGGAACCACAGGACACAGGACAGCTCCTTTCTTAGGAATAACTCACACACAAAGGTCATACCAAGTCATTTGAAGGACCTGGAGCTACAAAGGTAGGATGGAGCCCAAGTGATCTTTCCCACTGGACTTGTTATACCCCTCAAACCCAGAAATATCAATTCAACAACTTGTTTCCAGTTGTGGAGAAGACCCTTACTTTCTTACCTGTTTAAAACGGATCTCTGACCTATTCAGGACAGATGCAGATACAGGCCTGACCAGACCCCTGGTACAGCAGCGGATCTGCAAAATCCAATAAAGAAACATGGTTTTAAAAAAATAAATAAATAAATCCAACCATCAAACTTGCCAATTACCGAGCCCTTAAATCAAGGCTAGATTTTTCATGTATGTACAATTCACAGAATGCCTACAAAGCCAACTAGCTTATACCATATCTTAAAAAAACCAGCTCAGAAAGACACGGTATGCCCTAAGGAGCTTTACCTATTTATCAATAATGCTCTTCGCCACTCAAGTTAAAGACTTGTCTGGTGTTCTGGAGTGGAAAAAGGAGTCCATACCATTGTCCAATCAGTTATAAAAGACATTTAATACTCAAGTCATTTCAAAAATGGAGGAACCCAGTCCTGCTAAGACTCAGCGCCCCACCTCCAAGACAGACGAGTCATCTATCTGGGAGGCTCCTCACCCATGGGGGGCCTCAAACAGGAGTCTAAGGAGAGTGACCTCTACTTCATGGTCTCCTCTCCTTCCCTCCAATTCACTGGGGAGGGTCCTCAAGCTCCTGATAAGAATACCAAATTACTGACCTTCTGACCATATCCAAGACCAAAAAGAAATCACTTTAAATCATCTGCTTTTTTGAACCGTCCAAGCTACTTGCCCAAATAATCAAGGGTTGGCTTTTCTATATTCCTCCTGTACTTTCTGGGCATCTCATACAGATTGCTGGTATCCAGTCACTTCGATTCATCAATTTTATATGAATGGCACTGCCACCCTGCTAGTACAAAGCTCCCAGGAGACAATGCTTACCAGGGCTGGAGAAATGAGGAGGGTCCCCGTGGTCTGCATTCTGCTCTATATGCTAATGAGAAGGAAAAAAAAACAAAACTTAAGAATACTGGGCTTCAATACACCAGCTTCAGAAGCAGGCTTCCCTTCACCCAAGTCCCCAGCACTTCCTCTGAAAGTAGGAAGCATATCACTGCCCTCCGTTCTGTGCCCTTTCGCCCTTCCTCAACCATGTGAAAGGATAAGGACGGGGAATTAGAGGTCAGTGAAGCAGACTCGGTATCCCTCCTCCCCACCTCCTGCAGTTGTGATAAAGGGGTCATTGAGGGGTGGCTGTGGGTGGCAAGGAAACCAACCCCCCCCCCCCCAAGGAGACCTGAGACAGACTGGGAGGTCCCAGGGCTGTTCACAGAAGCAAACGCTTCATGGGCCCATCCAAAGGAAGCCCCTCGCTTTAAAGAGAAAAGTGAGGCCCAGAGGAGTGAGGTGCCTAGTGCAGCAAGATTAAAATAAAGCCTAAACCTTGGGATCTAGAGATGGCCGGAGGGGTCCTTAGAGGTCACCTGGTCTAATCCAACTTGCTCACTTCGGAGACCAGAAAGGTTGTGTCGAGCCCAAGGTCACACAGCAGTTAACGGAGCATATGTGAGAATCGAAGCCAGGTCCTCTGGCTTCCAAATCTAGGCTCCGGCCACGACACCACACTGCCAGGGGAAGGGAGACTCCCCAGTGGCAGAAGCAACGTGAGCCGCTGCTGTGCCAACCGCCTGCTCGCTTCCCCCGGGGCAGTGAATCCCGCCTCTGCCCTCCCTGGCCCGGGAAGCCCCGCGGGCGGCATGACTGAGGCATGGCCGGCCCTCGGCTGCCGCCTGCGCGCAGGCCTCCAGCCCCGGTCACCTGCGCCCCGCGCTCCTTCCTGCTGCCCCGCTCCCCAAGGCCCGGCCCGCCGCAGCAGCCAGTAGCTCCGCTCAAGGTGACTCACCTCCCGGTTCCAGCGCTGCTCGGGCAGCAGAGCCCATATCCCCCGCCCACGTGTCCCGAGGTTCCTCCGCTCTCATTGGCCGCCGCCCCAGCCCACCCCTTTCCCACTGGGATCCGTCAACCGACACGGCACGTCCATTGGCTCCCCGTCGGGCGACTTCTTCGTCCTTTATTGGATCTTTCCAGCGAGTCCCGCCTCTCTGCGGCCCAGGGCGGGGCCCCCGCCTTCCTCTAGCACACGGCTTCCGATTGGTGAAGCCTCCAAAATGCTTCGACCATAGAGTACGAAGGATGCCATAATCTCCTGCACAAAATGGCTGCCAAGGTGGGAGCCGAGAAAAAGACGTGAGAAGGCCCTTGCGTAGGGACGTCACTTGTCCTTGGAAAGGAGGCTTCCCGGCGGCCTGAGTGGGCGTGTTGCACCTTGGGATCTGTAGTCGTCTTACGGCCCCAAAGCAGGCTGGGAACTGTGGTTCTTTGCCGCGACCTGCTTCCGCAGCCTGCTCTGTACCCTTCTCCTAAGCTTAGCTGAGAAGGTGCCAGGGGAATAGTATGGCATAATCTATACGCTGCCCGCCACCTTTGAAGTCAAAAAGATCTGGGGTCAAGTTTTGCCTTACGTGCTACCTTGTGTGAACCTGAAAAGCATTTAATTTCTCCTTTTATATCAGAACTTTTTTCACACATACCTAGATGCAAACACTTTTTGAACATGCACCTTCAATATATGTATATTTACTTGATGCACAAATTTAGAGACTTCTCCCTCCCAAATGTTCTTATGGACTATTTGTGCCGACCTGTGGCGGACCCTTCCTAGCTCGTGTTGTTGTGATCAGTTACAGCCAATCCCAACATCATGATGCCATTTTGGTCCCCTTCCAACAGGAAGGCCAAAGAACATTTACTTATTTGTAACTAATGCACTCATGATGATGCCCCAAAGCAGATATTTTAAAAGGATGAGATAAAGAAGAAATAATGTTTGACCTGTCAAGATCCAGCACCACTTCTCTCTCTTTTTAGAGGCTTAGCAAGCAAGCTGTGCCCTGAGCTTGGCAAAACAACAATCCTTTGCGCTCTGGAAGAACTTTGCTGTAACGAAATCATAGAACTGATGGTCCCTGAGCTCAGGCAAGCACCAGCAGGGCCAGACATGGGGCCTTTTAGTCACTAGACGGCATTGCCTCACTCTTGCTTCTGAGCCTCACTCTTGTTGTGCCGCAGCACTGTTGCTACACTACGCTGTTTGATTCTTTATCTAGCCACAAATGTATAAATCAAGGTTTAGCCCCACTGCCTCATGTCTTCTACTAGAGAAGGCCCCAACATGTGTCTAATTTCTGTCCCCCAATGGAATAAAAAAAGCTTTTTGCTTTTAACCTGTGTGAGTTCTTTTGGTATTTTTGGAGTTAACAGTGGTTGCAAAACGTCAGTGACTCTTTGGTCATTTGTTAGCGCAGCTGACAGATCCTAGAGTCAGTAAGCAACCACGAGAGTTTATTGAGTAGGGGAGTGACATGGTCAGCCCAGGCTTTAGGAAAATCAATTTGGCAACTGTATGGAGAATATATTGTAAATGAAGCAGGGAAATCAGTTAGGAGACCATAACGGGCAGTTAGGCATCTCAGTGGATGGAGCATTGGCCCTGGAGTCAGGAGAACCTGAGTTCAAATGCGGCCTCAGACACTTACTAGCTGTGGGACCCTAGGCAAGTCATTTAACCCCGATGGCCTCCAAAAAAAATTAAAAGGAGACCATCACAATATTCCAAGTGAGAGGTGATGAGAACCTGCATGAGAGGAGACATGTCTGAGGGATGTTGTGGGAAAAGAAATGAAATTTGGCAATTTATTGGAAATGTATGGTAAGGATGAGTGAGAGGTTGAAGAGAGGAGTGAATATGACAACTCAGGTTGACCAAGTGACTGGAAAGGTGGTCCCGATAGGGAAGTTTAGACTTAGATGGGTTTGGGGTGAATGAGATCAATGATTCAGATTTCAACTGATCCATATCTGTTCATTGTGTGAGACAGTCTGTCCCACCCAAAATGAAAATGAGAAAGGGCTCTTACAGGTCAGACTCTCCACAAAGAGTGGAGAGCCCAGTGCCAGGGCATCTGCGACAGCCAATAAGAGAGGGCGGGGGTGGATGTACTGGAAGAAGGCTTGGAGTCTTCCCAATGGCACCTGCACATAGCCTTAGGTTCTAACTACCAAGCGGTAGGGGAGGTTGGGAGGCTGCACAAGGGAGGGAGGGGGCAGAGTGGAAGAGTGAGGAGGCTAAGGGTAAGTATGGGTGCATTGGAGACAAATTCTGCAATAGGCTATTGAAGTTCAGGTAGGATGTAACCTGTCTTCCTACCCTCTGATTGGTTGGTCCCATACCCCTCAGGGTCAGCTCACTGTGTTAAGGTGAGAAGTGGCAAAGCAAGATATGTACTGCCAGAATGGGTTTCCTCATTGGTAGTTTTCTACATCAATGAACTCTCAGTTCTGTATCAAAAATGTTCTGGACACTATGCTAGGTGCTGAGGATACATGCCTCGTGCCCCTCCCCCCCCAAAAAAGTCCTTGTTCTCACGGAACTACCAGGGGAAACAACATGTTTACACACACACACACACACACACACACACACACACACACACACACACATGCATACCAGAGGTCCTAAGTTTAGACTTTGTCACCAGTGTGACCTTGAACAAATCATTTAACTTTTTACTTTCCTCATTTGTAAAAAGGATAGGGTTGCCTAGATCATCTCTGAGATCACTTCCAATTTTAAGTCTATGATCTATGACAGAGAACCTGTGTTCAAATTCTGACTCTGATGTTTGGGCAAGTCCCTTAACTACTCTGGAACTCAACTTTCTCATCTGTAAAATGAGGTTCTCTGAGATACCTTCCATTTCTGTCTTTATCCCAGGATCATAGATCTACCTGGAAGGAATCTCAGTGACCACCTAGTACAGCCTCTTTTATTTTAGCTCTATGATCAGGGTAATTTGGCGGGAGGGAGGACACTCACAGTTGGCAAAATCAGAAAAGACGCCATGTAGAAGGTGGCACTAGAGCTGAGTGGAGTAAGAAGCTGAGGATTCTAAGAGGCCTCAAGTAAGAAGGAAAATGCACTCCAGGCCTGGGTCACACAGCCTAGGCAAAGGCAGGGAGACAGCAAATGGACCGTCAAAGGGTGAAAAATGGCAAGAATTCCAGTTTGGCTGGACCATAGAGTGTGTGAAGGGAAATGATGTGTAATAATTAGTCAATAAGCATTTATTAGTGCCAGCTATGTTCCAGACACTATGCTAAGCCCTGGAGACGCAGAGAGAAAAGTTTGACAATCCCTGACAATATATACAAATATAGGCATAAACAGGAAATATACAAAATGAATACAAGGCAATTGTTTCCTAGCAGGAGAATCATGGAGAAGGTGGTTCCTGAGCTGAGTCTTCAAGGAAACTAGAGATTCTGAGAGGCTGAGGTGAAGGGGGAAGACATTCTAGTCATGGAGAGCATCTAATACAAAGATCAGGAGGTAGGAGATGGAGCTTCCTGTGTTTGGAAGAGCAAACAGACCAGTACAGCTAGATCTCAGAGCATGTAGAAGGGATTAATGTAAGACAAGATCAGCAAAGCTAGGTTGCTAAGAACTTAAGTGCTAAACAGAAGGGTTTCTTCAGTCTTTTTTCAGTTGTGTCTGACTCTTCATGACCCCATTTGGGGTTTTCTTGGCAAAGATACTGGAGCAGTTTACCGTTTCCTTCTCCAACTTGTTTTGCAAATGAGGAAACTGAGGCAAACAAGGTTAAGTGACTTGCCAGGGTCACACAGCTAGGAAGTGTCTGAGGCCAGATTTGAACTCAGTCTTCCTGACTCTAAGCCCAGTGCTCTATCCGTTGTATCACCTAGCTGCCCAGAGGAGTTTCTACTTGATCCTAAAAGCAGCAGGAGGCCAATAAACAGGAGTTTGTCGAGTAGGAGGGTAACACAGTGAGATCTATGCTTTAGGAAAATTACCTTGGTAGCTGTGTGCATGGACTGGAGCAGGGAAAAGTGAGAGGTACAGAGACCGAATAGGAGACTATTGCAATAGTCTAGGTTGGAGTGGGGAACTTGTAGCCTTGAGGTCACATGTGGCCTTCTAGGTCCTTGGGTATGCCCTTTTGACTGAGTCCAAGTTTTTACAGAACAAATCCTTTTATTAAGGGGGTTATTCTGTGAAGTTTGGATTCAGTCAAAGGTCTGCACTTGAGCACTTAGAGGGTCACATGTGACCTCAAGACCTTAGGTTCCCCACCCTGGTCTAGGTAAGCACGAGGGCCTGAAATAGCATGGTGGCTTTGTCAGTGGAGAAAAAAAGGATATGTGTGAAAGATGGCATAGAGGTAGAAATGATAACATTTGGCAACTGGATGAATTTGTGGGGTAAGTGAGGGAACGAGGATGATACCAACATGGTGACCTTGGGTGACTGGAAAGATGGTGGTGTCAAGACAATAAAATAAAAGTTCAGAAAAAATGGGTGGGTTGGGGAGAGATCATGGGCTCTGTTTCGGACATGTTGAATTTGAGATGTCAGGGATGTCTACTTCAAAATGTTCCCAAGGGAATTGGAGTTGTGTAACTCGAGCTCAGGACTGGAGTTGGCATAAGATGGGAAATA